AGAAGAAGAAGAAGAAGAAGAAGAAGAAGAAGAAGAAGAAGAAGAAGAAGAAGAAGAAGAAGAAGAAGAAGAAGAAATGTGAAATAACTGCTGCTTGGCCTAAGAAGCAGAAAGTTTCTAAGGATGTGAAAATATGTAACTTAGCAATCCGAATTGGCCTTATCTTCTGTTTCAAACCTTTAGTGATGTTCTTGACCATTTCATCTACCACCAGGACTACAGAGCCCAGTCCCGAGAGCCTGCTCCTGTCAGACCCGGGGAACATCTTGAGCCCTGTGCAGTCCAGCTGTGCACAAGGCCGTGCCCTGGGGAAATTTCCCCATGACATCCTTTACCTTTCCTGTGGGCCAATAGAACGGCTCTTGTCAGCATTGCATGGCTGAAGAGGTGTAAGAAAAGTGCATTTAGATTTGAACCATCTCCACACTGCTGAAGCCTGGGCCCTGTCCACTCTGGCCATACACATAGCTAATACCTCAAGGACCTGACGGGGTCCCTTAATGGTTCCAAGGGTGTTCCAGGAAGTTCTCTTGCTTACTCCAGTCCCTCTGATCCATTTTGGGTGGGGAGCTTCTTTGATCACGTGCCCATGTATTTTACCTTTCATTGTCCGTCATTTCTTCCTCATGAAGATAATCGCTGATTTTCCCCCTTTGAGTCCTAGCCAGGGTTACATTCCTTTCAGTCAGTCGCCCTGGCTTTCTTGTGGTGTCAAACTGTTTTCCTGCAGCCTTGAGGCCTGGAGGAGAGCTTGGCTGGCTGTAAGATTCTTGGTACAAACTACTTCCTTACCCAGGACAGTTTCCACAGCCTCGGACGCTCGCCTGCCCAGCACTACTGTAGTGTGCCCTTCCTCACTTCGTGGCTGATGTGGGCAAGGACATTTTCCTCGGGATCCTGTGCTTTAGTCTGCTTCATGTTTTCTTTTAGAGTAATTCTGTGTAGATTTAGTTTGCTTTTACTACATTAATCTGGAGAATTTACATGACTCCTGATTTAAAGGAGATCCTTCCTGCCGGTATAACCCAATATACTATATTCTTACCATTTAACTACTAGGAGCTGGGGGTGGGGGGTCACGTGACCTCTGATGGACCTGAAGTGTCATCCCTTTTGCTCCCCTCTTCCTCTGCCACCTGCTTCCTGGAAGGGCCCTTTCCCGTCTCCTTTCTCTGTGGAGCATGCTTTACAGAGACTGCCAACCTGAATCCCTTCCAGCGGCCTCCCTCGTCGTCAGGCCGTGACTCACCTGGACTCTTGATGGTGTCTCACACATGGAGGTGACATCTCCTTTCAGACAACTTCAAATCAACCTTGAGTTCTGTCCCTTTGCTTCCACCAAGGCTGGTGCCAAAGTGTGGCTCACAACTCTGGGGACAGGGGTTGGTATTCATTCTTTGGAATTCATTCTTTTTTCCAGCTTACAGGTGACCTGAATATCACAGCCGTCTCTCTTATGGGTCCATCGAAGGTGTGGGTTTTGTGTGGCCTTCTGATTGCTTCTTCTTGTTGCTGCAAAGCTGTGAGGAATTCATTTAACTAGTCTGGGGGGGGGCACCTTTTTCTAAATTTCATCTGAGCGCAGTGGTGTACTGTCAGGAAGAAAGCTGGTATGCTATGTGCACATGTGAGACCCACTCACATAGAGGCTTCCTGGAAGCATACATCCATGAAGAACCATGTATATGAAGAGACATTTCTGAGTGTATCACTTGAAGAGCTCAATTGCACTTGCATTCAAATTTGATTTTGTACTGAGGACCAAGGACCATAAAATACAAATATTGCACTAAGCACTTGCCTACTACATTAAAATGTCTTGTAGTCAATTTCCTGGAAGCCAATGAGTGTAAATGGCCTTGTCCTATAACCGTCCTCACATTGGACAGCTGAGGGACCCAGGTGAGCAGGCTCTGTCCCTTCACCCTGCAGAACTGTCCTTTCCACACCAGACATGCATACTTCACAGAGGTTTTCACCTGGTAGATAGTTTTTCCAATTTTTATTTTAAAGACAATATTTCATGTATCGAGGCTGACCTCAAGCTCTCTGTGTAGCCAAGAATGGCCTTGAAATTCTCATTCTCCTGTGTCCACCTCTTGAGTGCTGTGGTTACAGGCATGTATCTAGCTGCTTTAATGTGCTCTAGGGATCCAACCCAGGCTTTTGTGCATGCTACGTAACACTTTACCCACTGACTTACATTCCCAGGCTTCTCCTTTTCCACTTCTTGCTATCATTCGGTCACCTTTGTATGCAAAGATCCCTCCTCGACAGCCCAATACTAGGAGAGAGTACTTTTCATTATTACATTTCAGATTAACTTTCAAAATAATTACATTGCTCATCAAGTTGAGTCAAAACATTTTGTTGCACTAATGAGGTCCCTTGGTTTCTCTTTTCACAGAGGACAATTATGGGATGGATGGGAAGGTTAGTCAGTCCAACGTCGTTTCCGACACCAACTGGCAAGGCCTGGAGGAGGTATCCAGTGTGAGTGACGACACCGATGAGTACAGACATAACCCTGGACTGAGTCTGGAGTCCTGGACGAGCTACCTGGAGGCTGTAGATAGAACATTTGCAGTGCTAAACAGTCGCTCTGAGCAAAACAAAGCAAATGGGACTCCAACTGCTCCAAGCGGTGGCTTCCCAGTCGCCTCTGCTGAGCTCTCGGTGTCAGCAGAGATGGCCTCTGCAGAGTCGGGAGAAGACCCAAGTCATGTGGTTGGGGAAACACCTCCCTTGACCTTGCCAGCCAACCTCCAAACCCTGCCTTTGAACAGACCCACATTAAGTCCAGAGAGAAGACTTGAATGGAATAACGACATTCCAGAAGTGAATCATTTGAATTCTGAACACTGGAGAAAAAGCAAAACTGAAAAACAGATGGGGTGGGAGGAGATCCGCCATCTTGACGGTGACATCAGTGGCAATGGCATGACAGAGCTGGGACTCCAGTCTCATCATAGGCTGCAGCCCATCAGCCAGCATCAACGAGAATGCCCCCAGGATGCAGAGCCAGAAGAGGATGCTTTTGAAGATCAATTGCATCCTCATGTTCATTCTGACAGAACTTCTGTTCATCAAGTGTTCAGTGTGTCTGGGGTGGAGCAACCTATTCGTTCCAGCCCCATGGAGAGACTGTTGGCCAAGATGCGGAAGAGTGGTATAAAAGAGTGGGTACCGAATCTAGAGGGCAGTGCCTCCTCTCCACTCCCCTCTGATTAGATGAAATGTTGCCTGAGTCTTTCTAAGTTTTTATTAGTAAACTAGTGGTGGCGAGTGTAACTGCCAGCATTCTGAGCTCCCCTGGATACGTTTGCGCAGTAGAAACTCACTCGTGTGCACATGGGCAGGTGATGCTCGCTCACACGTGTGCAGGTGATGCTCACACGTGGACTCATTGTAGTTCACTGTTTTCCCAAGAAGAGAAAGGTGGGGGACATTTTGTTTCTTTGTTTTCGGTACTAAAACAGTATTATCTTCTGGATATTGTAGGGACATGCGTATATAAAGTCTATCCAGTCAAAATGGCTAGAATTGTGCCTTTGTAAGTTTTAAACGCTTGACACCCATGATGACTCCGTCAACACATCTTCCCTGCCTGCATCCTGAAGTTTGGATTCGTTTCTAACCACTGGAAATTTTCGACATCATCATATTTGGTTCAATGATTTTGCACTTTGAGTTTGGAATACTGTGTCTGCTTGGTTGGTAGTGTTATTATTTTTTTTTTAAACAGTCTTGTCAGAGACATACTGTTTGTCCCAGGCAGGACAAAGGAATAGACCCCCAGCAATGACACACAGTATGGATCACATATTGTTTAACGTATACTTTTTCCAGAGAACATTGCATGTATTTTATACCTTGACGTGCTAAAATTGATTAGCAAAAAGGCATGGCTCACAATGCTGGTGGTAAAAAAATAAAATGAGTTAATAAGTAATAAACAAAACAAAAATTACCTGCTCTCTCTGTGCTTACTATATGCTCAATACTGCTAAATTTTGGTTACCGTCTTGAAAAAGGGACAGGACAAAGGCCATTTTATTTTAATCTTTTTTTTCTTGGTTTGGTTAATAAGCTTAAGTATCAGGAAAATATGTGTAGTTTTGGCTTTCTACAAGACAATTTTAATAAAGTAAAATCATGAATGCTGTAAAATTTAGATACACCAGTATTTGCTTTATAAACACTGCAGTATGTCAATATTTTTAAAACTATCACCATGCTCTGATTTTTCTAAATGACATAGTTCAAAACAGCTTTTGAAAATCTGTATTCTTGATGTCACCCTGTTTCTCCTGGACTTTTAGAGACCACTCGAAGGATTACCTCACTGAGAATTTCCATTGTCCTCTTCCTTCCCAAGGTCTTCTCGCTATTGTTTAGCTGGATGGTGGTTTTCTTTTGACTTTTAGATAATTCAAACATGTGGATAGTTGTATTTTTGTTAAGTGTTTAAAGTAAACACTTTTCAAGAAAATTTAATGTGGTATAGTTGAATCCTTGGTAATCGTAAGTCTTTACCATAGAGCCTGTACATACGCTAACTAGCCGTTGATCAGATGTGGCTGGCAGCTGCTGACAGAATAAACGTATTTATCGTCTTGAATGATGTGTTTTGTAAAGAGATTTCAAGATATTAGGAAGCATACTATGTTTTTTTTTTAATCCTATGTAATGCTCTGTGATACTTTGATAGAACAATTCTGGCTTCAGGAAAGCCTAGAAGCGATATTTCTTGAAATAAAAGGTGTTGAAATATTTTACCTGTTTCAGAGAAGTAACCTTAAATCAGCTTTTGTGGTCCACAGGTTCCCTACATGTTAGCTTGAGTCTGGTTCTTACCTTACATGACTAAGTGTTAGCTATACTTGTCAAAGTACCCCAAATCCATGTTTTGTAGATCATTCTCGGGTTAGTACCTTTGCAGATTTGCCTCCTTGGAGTCCAGAAGGATGAGGCAGAACAGCTCTGTAAAGGGTCAGGGGCAGAGCTCCGTTTTTCACCATATAAAAAATACTGATTAACTTTTGGGCAAAAGGCCCCATATTGATAATCCTTGAGGCCTCGTGAACCCCCTCACTGGTCCTGGGTGTCACAGATGGAGTTCTCTAAAAACAAGAAGGCTCACCCATGAACAGCGCTTTAGAGTTTGGAGGGAGCCATAAGTTTTAAGGTAAACCTAACTGTCCACCAAGACCTTACATGTTTGATACGGACAAATCCCAAATCCTTGTGTGGAAAGTCTCTTGGAATAGCCTTTAGATAAGAAATTAAGAATCTGTGAAACGTCCAGATTAGAGGTTAAAAGAAATAAAGGAGGGGCATAGCAAAGCATTCAAAGACTTGCCCATCGGTCCTCAAGGAATCCATACATAACATCAAAAAGAGATTACAAGTGTGGAGGGCATAGTGTCTGGACATTCATCTTTGCTCCATGCTTCTTATTGATGTAACCAACCGTTTTATTAAATAAGAAACACAGAAATAATGCAAAAGAGAAAGCCGAGAGGTCAGAGCTCAGAGCCAAAATTTCACCCTTCCGCCTGCGGTGTCCCAGCTTCCCGAATGAGCGCTCTATTTCCTGTCTGTTCGTCTATTTAAAGAGACAGAACAAGCCACAGCTATCTCACCTCACCAGTTCCTCAGCTGGTCCTGTTTCCTCAGACTGGAAGCTTCTGTGTCCTCATCCCAATAGCTCTCAGCTGAACTGTGTTGCTCCAAAGCCTGAAAGCTTAACCAGCCAAATGCTTCTAGTTTCTGGTCCTCACGCCTTATATATCTTTTTGCTTTCTACCACCACTCCCTGGGATTAAAGGCTGGCTTTCTGGGATTAAAGGCGTGTGCCACCACCGCCACACTCTTGCAATGGTTCTAATAGCTCTGACCCCCGGGCAACTTTATTTATTAACATACAATCAAAATCACATTTCAGTATAATTAGATTACCACCACAGCTTCTTTTTTAAATAACTCAAGTTGTGTATATGAAAACGATTCAGTGTGCTGTTTCCACTCGTGTGTGCCCTGGTCAGATCTCCTTTCTGCCTCACCCCATCCTAAGCGACCCTCCCAGTCATCAGTAATTATCATTCTACTTTGCTGCCCATCATTTTTTTAAGTCTCCACATGTGACAGAACCTGCAGTGTGTACCCTTCTTGTTCCTCTCCTATAAAATGTGCCCAGGCCACGTGTTGACATCCCCCCCCCAAAAAAAAACTCTGCCTGAGTACAATTCAGTGAATATCTATGCAGTCTACACCATGCAAAAAGACTGTATGTCTCCAGAGCTATGTTCCAAAACCGGTTCAAGAGATAGAAGGATCTCTATCCTTAGAGGGTGGCTGCCTGAGGGTGTCTTTTGATCTGTGACCAAGGCGGCAGCAAGAAGGACTGAGCTGACCTCCATGGTCTGTTCCCTGCTTGCCACAGACTCAGAAGATGAAGAAAGAAAGCCAGCTGCTCTCTGCTTCTTCCATTTTAACGGACACGTGCTCATCATACACTCATTCACAGAACACATACATGCCGTCAGGGAAGAGGAAAACTGTAATGGGACCCCATTTGATAAAGCCCTATTTGGTAAGACGAGGAGTGATCAGGACATTCAAGGACTCCTAAACCGCTCTGGGGCTGAGGTGGGGGATGGACAGCTAGGTGGCAGAGTGCAGGATAAGCATGCACAAACCTGGGGTGGGTCTCTGGTGCTGCACAAAAGGCATAGCATACCTGCAATCCAAGCACTTGGAGGTGGAGGCGGGAAGGGCAGCAGTTCAAGGTCATCCTCAACTTCATAGGGAGTTTGAGGGATCCTGCCACCCTAACTTCATTTTGAACTTCTAACGCTTAGGATTTTTGTGAGCTCAGGAAAGCCCCATACACCTCTCTAAGACAACTGTTTGCAGAAATAAGCAAGGGCTTTGGACTAACTATGGCAGCCACTCAGTCTATGTGCTTTCTTTTCCCCAGACTGTCCAGGGGAGATATCGGGACTCTCCACTGAGCTTCTGTGGCCTTGGAAGTCCCATCTCAGATGCTGCTTCCCCTGCCCGCTGTCAACATGGCAGGTGTTGACATCTGAGTTAAAAATACCTATCACCACACTTAAACTATACCTGAGGCTGCTCTTGATCTTCCTGAAAACCAGGAGTAGGCTGGGCTGGGGGTGTGGCCACCGTTCAATTTCCCAATGGAGTCGAATTTTGTTGGGTATTTCCAAAGATTATTTTAGAAGACAGCATATCTTTGGATGGCAAGTAAGATTCCCAAACAAAGCTTCAGGTGCTGGGTCTTGGTGGGCCTCTGTGCCCCACAAAGCTGCTGTTAAGAGCTGCAGTGGTGCCCTAAGGCCACCTGTGGCTTTCCCCCACTACCAGCTCATCCCACACTCAGGAAATGCCCTAATGCGGTGTCATCCCGCGGCGTAGTGAGCTAGTCTTTCTCTAAACTGAAGACTTTGTCGTGGACCTTCACGACATGTGCGAAGCTGCACAAAACACGTAGAGCGACTGGCCTTTAAAATTCAGACGCTCCCCGCTGCTGTTAGGGGGTAGAAACATCACACGGAGACACCATGCTGCCGTCTTTCAAGCGGACTGATGCCTCGCTCTTAAGGCAGTAAATGTGAACAATGACCAAAAACATTGCCGTCTACTGAGTTTCTTAGCCTCAATACCAGGGAACGTCCCAAACTCTCAGGCTTGGAATCTGTATCCTCCCTCCCCTCCTCTACCCCACAAGCCCAATAAAGCAAGTTCAAGGACTGAGTGGAACCAGTTCAATTCTAGTAGCTTTCAGGAGCAGAAGAAAGGACTTCCCTGTGGGGCCCACCACCCTCTCGGGAGGGTAAAAGCAGAGCATGTGCTTTTCATAACAAACACTAGATGGCACCGGAGTACAGCATCCAATGCAAAACGACCGTTTACAGTGATTTTAAGGTAACTGCGCTTGCTGTCATGTATGCGCATGGCACAAGAGCATGTCTGGATCCGTGGCAAGTTTGCCCTTCCCTCGGTGCCTACCCTCTCAGTCTTCCAGTAGACCAAAGTGCAGTTGCAGCTCTCCACTGTTTTGTGCTGGCATCCTAAATGGAACTGTGCCAAATGCTGGCTGGCACTTAAAACCAAAGGTGAGCAGGGAATGTGACCTCCTAGCTTTGCTATGACTTTGTGCAATTGAAAGTGTTTCTTTCGCTCGTATGTGCTGAAGCCATGGATACCATCTCTGGTTCACTGACAATTTTACAACAACAGCAACAACACAAAAACAAAAAACACCGGATGCTTTATCAATTGCTCTTAAAACCCTGAGTCTGGGTTAAAGCAAGGAAATGAAGTGAGCAAAGTCTATAACCCTCTAACCCTTCCTACTGCTCATTTCTTAACACCAAGCACGTGTGTGTGTGTAGGGATGTGTGTGGTGTGGGGTGTGTGTGTGTGTGTGTGTAGGGATGTGTGTGTGTGTAGGGATGTGTGTGTGTGTGGAGGGATGTGTGTGTGT